AGCCTCATCCGTCACCACCCCTTGCCTGCTCTCCAGGCTGCAGTCAAACTGAGTCTCTACCATCCTACCCACCTCCGGGCTGGACTCTGCTGGTCCCTCTGCCAGGAGCACCTCCTTTCCACCCGAGGGCTCCTCGTCTGTGCCGTGGGTGTACTCTTGGCATTTGTCCCACCGTGCTGTCACTATCTCTAGGGTGAGCTCTAGCAGGGCCGAGACCAGATGTGTCTTTTTCACTGTTTTTTGTTTAAAGATTTATTTATTTGAGAAAGAGAGGGAGCACACGCATGTGAGCGGGGGAAGGGGCAGAGAGAGGGGGAGACAAGCAGATTCCCTGCTGAGCACTGAGCCCATACGCAGGGCTTGATCCCAGGACGCTGAGATCGTGACCTGAGCCGAAACCAACAGTCGGACGCTCAATCGACCGAGCCACCCAGGTGCCCCTTTTCCACCATTTTATCCACAGAACTTAGCACAATACCTGGCACCATAGCAGTCTTCTAACCTATGGATGATTGACTATATGACTACATGAAAGCATGAACTGAAACAGGAAAACCGCACTAAATTGGCATGAAATACAGTTCCTGGTAACGTGAGTCCTTTAGCTCCTCCGCTGCCTTCCTCTACGGCCAGGTTGGTTCTATTTCTGCAGTTGCTTGAACATGATAGTACCGTGGAGCGAGTCACCGCGGCAGTAGCTGCCCCAGGAGGGGCCGTGGGCGCTCCGCACGGACGACGGTGCTGGACAGCTCCCGCGCACAGAGCCGGCCGTCCTCCCGTCCACTGGATGTGCATCCAGGCCCAGCCCTGGCGGGTTGGGAATAGCTGACCTTCCCTGTCAGCTGTGAGGAAGCAGCTCATCTTCTCGTATTGCCATAAACACAAGTATCTGGAAATTTTATCAGTAGGTGCACAAATCGGAACCTGGCTTAGCACCTGCACGTTGCCACCATTCAGCTGCACGGACTGCCGTCCCCGGAGCAGTCTCGACGTCCCTCCCCCTGTAGCGACATAACCTTTGCTGTGCATTGCCCAGAACATAGGTCTGCAGTGCAGGTGCACAAACCTGCCGGAATTCCCCAGCCCCAAGACTCCTCATGGCGGCAGAAGGAGTTTGACTGAAGGAAACAGACTGGTTGCCATTTGCTGTGGTAGTTTCGCTGCTGCCCGTGTGCGGAAGAAGTAGGCAATACCAGCCCGCACCACCCCAGACCCCAACACTTAATACACACGCTGGCCACACCGCCCGCTGTCACTTTCTTGCTTCCCCAGGGGAGCGAGGAGGAGAATGCCCCCTTCCTACCCAGCGCTCGGCGTCATCAGGCTCCACACTCCCGGGACCTCCTGGAAGCATACTATCTGGGGCAAGGGCCTAAGAAGGGGCATGACCAGGGGCCTGAGGGCAGGCATACCTCCTTCCTCCCTGACGTTCCAGAGGCTTGTGTAAAGAGGGCTTGGAAAAACCGTGGATAACGTGCACACCTTCATTCGGAGGCCTGCTAGGGAAACCCCCACACCCCCACTCGATGACTCTGGCGTAGGCTCCGGCCTGGAGGGAAGCTGCCCGCGTGGGCCACTTTCTCATATAAGCTAGTCTCCTATAAGCGAGACTAGCTTCTATGAGCTTTCTGCGGACCCCTGCAGATGACACCTCATGATGGGGAAAGCTTTGTGTCTTTCCTTGTTGACAGGGTCTGTGCTGATTTTGAACCCATTTTCAAAGGGCCCCGATAAGGCCGTCTGTAAGCTCTGTTTGTGGGTCTGTTTTAACCCAGTGGGAGAGATTAGGACAATAAATGATGACTTTTCGATGGTTGGTATAGGGTTATATCTCACATGTTGATAAGAATATATAAAGTAGCAATTCTAATTTTATATAAAATACGTATCAGCAGATGGTCTATGTACGCACACTTTGTGTAACTAAATATGCTATATAAAAGCTATGAAAGTGAGTATTACTCAGCCTTAAAAAGGAAGGAGATACCAACATATGCTACATGGGTGAATTTTGAGGACATGATGCTGAGTGCAATAAACCAGTCGCAAAACGACAAATACTGTGACTTAGAGAAGGTCCCTAGTAGTCCAGTTCATAGAGCCAGAAAGTAGAATGGGGGTTCTGAGGGGCTGGGGGAAAGGGTGGGGAGGTAGTGTTTAATGGGCACAGAGTCGCAGTTTGGGAAGAGGAAAGAGTTCTGGAGATAGTGGTGAGGGAACTATGAAGGTACTTAGTGCCACTGAACTTACAATGAAAAATAATCAGTTAAAATGGCCAATTTTATAATAAAAAAATCCATGGAAATGGCAAGCAGACTAACACACAGAAAATATATTTACATACAGCCATGTTAGTACTATGGTAACTTTTTTTTTTTTTTTGACAGAAAACGGAGTCTGACTATCCCTCATATAAAAAAAGGGAACAGGGCGCCTGGGTGGCTCAGTTGGTTAAGCCACTGCCTTCGGCTCAGGTCATGATCCTGGAGTCCCGGGATCGAGTCCCGCATCGGGCTCCCTGCTCGGCAGGGAGTCTGCTTCTCCCTCTGACCCTCCCCCTTCTCATGCTCTCTCTCTCTCTCTCTCTCATTCTCTCTCTCAAATAAATATATAAAATCTTAAAAAAAAATAAAGCTTTAAAAAAAATAAAAAAATAAAAAAAAAGGGAACAGAGTCTTGTAAATTAAGTGAAAGCACAAAAAATTCAAATACCTTTAGACATGTACAACAACTGGGGAAATGCTAATTCTAAAGAAAGCAAAAGTTTAGCGTTTTGGTTTATTCGTAAGCTGAAGTCAACAGTTGACGGTCAATCAGCAATGTATTGAAAAACACTTTAGAATGGCTGTGGGGGTTGATACGGTGCTGACAGCAGAGGTGGGAGGGGGTGGGGGCAGCCCCACTATGCTAATTTTATGGTGCACACTAGGTGCTCAGGTAAATCACTGACATGTGTGGATAAAAGAGGTAGAGGCTAGGATGGGTCAGATGGGTACCAATGGTGCCATGTGCTGTGTATCAACAAAGCTCACAAAGCAAATGAGATGAGGCTGGGTCTCTGCCTCCCCAGCTCAACTGGGGACACCAACGAAAAACTGGTCAAGTGAGACAAATGGAAAACATTTGCTAGAGGAAGATGACCCTAACAGTGAAGGACTGTGGGAGAGAGCTTGGGCACAGCCTGAGACCCATGATCCTCTGGGGCAGCATTTGGTCTCAAAGGCTGGACCACACCCACTCCACTCCTCTGCACCAATTTCCTGAAGGGTCCTCAGATACCACGAAGCTCCAGCTCTAGCCTACAGAGGACACCACCCAAGGTCTAGAGGATGGGACTGGCCCAGGCCCCCCGCTGAGTGTGTCAGCCCGACGAGACCTAGGCTCCCCGCGTCTAGTGGGGACACGTTCCTTCTCTCTCCTGGCCTGTTGAGTCGCATGTGGTGCTTCTGAGCCCGCTTGCTACAGTCTCATTTAACTAATTTACAGCTCTGGACTGCAGGCTGAATTATAGCTATTTGTTTCCCTTTCCTGGCTGCCAGCTAAAGAAAGCAGGCTTCATTAATTCCAGTGCTTATCACTGAACAAGGTATTAACAAGCTTTTAGATAGTGCTCCAGCCATTTAGCGTTCTTGAGGTGAAAGGGCCCCTGGTCCATATGGTCTAGATTCTTGTACATTTTCATTTCAGACACTAAGGCTGACAGATCTGCTAGGAGCAAATGGGGTGTTAGTCGGTATCTAATTAATCTAACATGAGTCACAGCCCATTTCATGGAGTCAGGCCCCAGTCTTCGCTTCTACCAACAGTCACATTCAGGACATCAATTTACACTCTTTTTCTCTCTCAGCGACTTGGCCTTGTAATATTCTGGTAGGCAGTGTGACTCTATCACTTTTCCCTTTCTAGTCAGGTTTATAAGCCTAAGCACCCATTCATTCATTCAGAGAGAGCATGTGAGCAGGGTGGGGAGGGGCAGAGGGCGAGGGACAGACAGAATCCCAAGCAGGATCCCCATCCAGGTGGAGCCCAACGTGGAGCTAGGTCTCACGACCTTGAGATCATGACCTGAGCCAAAATCGAGTTGGATGCTTAACCGACTGAGCACCCCCCTTTTAATCTTTAATGTGCTAACGAGCCACAGGAATATAATACAGAGTAAGAAAAGAAAAGGATATTAAACTCGTTGCTTTGTGACTTTCTGAAAACGGCAACACCGCTGTGTGAATACTCCAGTCCACCCTGGGATGGTTGCTGGTTTTAGTGGCTGGCGAAGCACCAGGAGGGGAACTCAGCCGGTGGGGACCAGAGCTCTTGGTCTTGTCCTCCCAAGAAAATCACCCCACCAACCTGTGCGTCCGTTCCTGCAACTTGAGATATGGATGCCGCCTGACACCTCACCTCTACTATCACCCACGCGCATTTGGAATCCATCAGCCGGACTGGCATGCAGAATAGGGTGAGAGCTGTCAGGGGCTCTCCTGAGGGCTGGCACAGCGCCCAGAATGAAAAAAGGAACACGGGCACATGCTGTGAAATTCATTCAACAGCGTTTCTCAAAGACCTCCTATGAACAAGATTCTAAGGGATAAAGTAAAATTTAAAAGGTGAAACAAAGTTCTAGTCCTTGACTATGTTCAGAGTTAGAAATCCAAGGGCCACAGTCCTGCTTAAAGGGCATTTGGCTAAAAGGTGAGGTATGCAAGAAGTGACCAGACATCTCCTCTGCTAAAGTCCTTAGGGTACGGCTGATGTGAAGGTAACAGATGTCAAGGAGTACCTTGAGAACATGCAGGAGATACATTCAGAAGTGGAGCGTTTAAAATTCAGTAAAGTAAGAACAAAGAATTTAAGGGGCGGCCGATGCACGTCGGCTGCAGGTGCTGGGAGGAGCCATGAGGTCCGGGTAAGTTCCAGAACTCCTACGACTAGGTACTGTGCAGGTGGAAGCCGTCACCTCACCAAGATGAGTGTTATAGATAAGAAAAATTACAGAAAGAACAAAGAATTAAAAGAATTTTAATAAAATCAACAAGTTTACATTTGTACATCTTGTGTATTTGGAACCTGACCAGGGGTGAAGGATAAAGTTGCAAGGACAAAGGTTTCCACAGGGGAGCAAGCAAAAAGCAAGGGCTACCCTTGTTGTGTGACAGGCATTGGTTTGGTGGTGCGACCCCATGGCCACCCGAACCGCTCTGGACTCCGGACCTCAGCTAGCACATTTACCAAGCTCGTGGGCATGAGCTCTTCGGCTCTGAGCTCAGGCCCAGTGCTGCACACCCTCCGGGACGCTGCCACGTTAATACCTGACAGGCAACAGCAGAGAAACAGTTCCTAAAACCCAACAGTATCGCCCATAGAATATGAATGCCAACTGGGTTCAGTTCATGCTGTTTTAACTAGAATGGTTACACAGAACTTAATGAGGGGAGGAAAGGGCTGAGCAATGTTCTAATTGTTCTAGTCAACGCCACAGTCACAAAACAGCAGGCCTTTAGAAAGAACCATGTATTTATTTTAAAAATCTGACTTGCGAAAAGGGCCCATGGGAGTCAGAGAAAGAGGAGAGCAAGGTACGGTTCTGAACACAGGAGACGACTCGACTTTAATCCCCGTCATTCGAAAGGATGACAAACGTTTCAAGAAACTGACCAGTGTTCAGAGAGAGCGGAGACTAGTGTCCCCAAGTTAGGAATGAGCAATCACAAGGCGCTCTCCAGACCACACAATGTGGCCGGTGGAACAGTGCTTTCAGCAGTGGGGTCCTGCACGCGCTAGGGACTTATTCTCTGAGGGAGAAAGGCAAGCTCGCGACTTGTGATGGTACCATGCACGGTTACAGGACCATTCCGCACCAGTCATCCACAGGGTCAACTCACGACCCCGCTTCGACTTCGTCCCCACTGACATAGTACGCGGCTGAGTTACAAGGCGCATTTCTTCATCACTGATTCTTCAGATGGAGACACGGCTAGGGGGGAATGCAGGGGTGCCTTTGCTTTCTTGGGCCACTTAGAATCACAGGAGGAAGAAGAAGACTGGCCATTATCAATCAGTACAGGAGAGCACTGTTTCGGGAACGGACCGTGAGATCTTCAGCCCCCGCCCTGTAAGGCTCGGGCTGATGGAGAGAGGCGGTATTCCAGGGTCCTCTCCTGCGACACATACAAGCTAGTGCTTGCTTTCCCAGCGTGACGGCAGGGGGTACAGTTCCTAATAGGATCATTAATCCCAGTGAGGAAATTCAAAAGAGGGCAGTGAAGTAAGGACGGCTTCGGCTTCTCCGCGATGTTCGGCAGAAACACAGCGAATCCCTAGTCTGTGGTGAACAAGAGGGACCCCTCCTGTGTGTTCAGGAAACCTCAGAGCAGGCGTGTAAAGTGCTGGGAGGTAAGGCAGCCTGACTGGACTTCCTCGTCGGGGTGTGCAGAAGCGCCCGGCAGGCAAGATGGCGCCTCGTCACAGGCCAGGGCAGCTGTCACCTGCTGCCAGAACCCTGACGTGTGACTGGGCGAGGCTAAACCGGCCTCTCGTGAACTTCCGCGTGGCTTGTGCTCATAACGTCTCCCTTTTCATTTCCCGAGGGGTCAGCAGGAGGTACATTTTAACAGGAAAAAAAAAAAATGTCCCTAACGGATATGACAGATGAAATTCTAAAGCAGAGGAAATGGCAGAGATGACAGAACTTCAAATAATAATTTCTAGTCAGTCGTGTCAATCGTGGAGTTTCAAATCAGCAGGTGGCGGGGCGGGCCGGGCCAGGCCCGACCGGCGACACCGGGGCCCTCACGTGCCGCAGGCCTGCTGTCTGCCGTCTTGCACGCGGGGCCAGCAGCTTCTCACCTGGGGCTTTAGCACTTTCCAGTGGGTCCTCGACTTCCCCGAGAGGGGGCGCTCGGGGACACAGGGCAGAAGCTGTGAGGGGCTGCGAGCCAGGTGGGAAGTAGGCAAGAACAGAAAGACCCCCCCCAAGGTCAGCCGTTTCTAAGTGCAAAGGCAGAGCCCACGAGGTAATCCCGGAAGCAGCCCCCCGCCCCCCAAGGCCGTGCCCCTCACCCTGCCCAGCGAGAGTTCCGACTCTGCCGCGCTGAAGCAAATGTTTCCAGTGCAAATGCGCGTCTGAAGACCGGGGCACCAGGGTGGGGGGTCCAGCTTGTCTGGACGGCACGCGGAAGGCTCATTTTCCTCTGAAAGTAGACATTTGTTTGGGATTACTGTGCCGCGGGTCGGGCGAACCCTGACGTGTGTCTGTCTCCGGGATTTTCAGCGTACATTCAGGGTGGGGTGGTCAGCAGTTTCACATTGACTGAGGTCTCCCCAGCGCCCAGATGTCACCCCTTGGCCGATACCAGTGCAGCGGCTTTCTGCCCTCTGCACCCAGCAGGCTTGGTAAAGAACTCAGGGTCCCCGTTGCGCCCTCGGCTGGGCCTCTTCAAGTCCGCGCGCCGGGGCCGGGGGCGCTGGGGTTCGTGTGTCTGCTGGCGGCACAATGGGTGTGGACGAGCCCACCATTTGGATATCTAACAAACACAGGCTCACAAAAGGGATTTTGGCACATCTGGCAGAGCTTTTTGTCCGAGAGCTGAACTGAGCTTCCTTTCAACTTCATCTGCAAAAAAAAAAAAAGAAAGAAAGAAAGAAAGACTGAGTACCCTGTCACCTAGAGTTATACCGGAGCGGACACGCGTTACCCCATGGGTTATTATTACTCGTGGAGGAATGCTTTCACATCGACCTCTCAAAACAGAATATTAGAGGCAAAAATAAACAAAAACATCCTGGAGAAGGAAAAAATAATAGTAATAAGAAAATTGTTTTTAAATGCTACAAAACTGCTTTCTTATTTCACAAAAAGTGAAAGCTGCTTGCTTGGCCAAGGCATTTCTACCCAGACCCTCTCCCAAACGTTCTCTGAGCTCTGCGTTTGAGCAAGGCCCGTGGGAAAGTGACGTCATGTCAGAGCGGAGTAAGGCCCTTGCGATGATCCAATTTCCAGGTCCTCTCATTTGCAAACAAGAAAGGTAAGGCACAAATAAGGGATGCCATCGAAGCCATATGGTCGATTAGTGGCACCGTCCTGGCTGGTGTGGGAAACATAATTTCATTTGTTTAAACATCACTAACAAAACTGGATAAACAGAACTACAGTTCTGCAAGTTAAGAAGCCTTTTTGCACAGTTCACTTGTTAGCCCAGGTAAGCCGGCCTACCGGCAGGATCAACCAACAACTTCGTGAAGTCACCCTGTACTCTTCAGTTTTCCTCAGTCCTTCAACAAACATTTCTTCAACACCTTCGAGATGCCGGGCTTAGCTCTAGGGATACCAAGATAAACAGATGAAGTTCCCTGCCCTCAAAGAACCCAGAGTCGAATAATGATGGGAGATGATGATGGATGTGTGCACGGAATGTGTGGGTGGGCAAAGGAGGGGACTCACCTGCTTGAAAGGATATGAAGGTTTCCCAAAGGAAACAATACTAAAGCTGCATTTTGAGTAGGCAGTCACCGGGCCCAAAAGGAAAGGTTAGTATGTCAGAGGGAACCACAGGTACAAAGGCTGTATGTATGAAACAACAAGTCACATCAGGGAGGTTCCACATGTCCGGGAAGCAGGGCGAGATGGAGAGGGCCAGGCCGGAGGAGAGATGGGACCTTCCAGGCCTCAACTCCTCCCCTGGAGCGTCACGAAGGCTTCCATGTAGGAGGGCCACGTCAGGTTCCTGCTCTGGAAAGATCCCTGGGCTGGCTGCATGGAGTGTAGGCCTCAAAGAGAGAAGTCTCCAGAAGGGGATATACACTGGGGACTATCGTGGACTGGATGTTTATATCCCCCACCCCCTCCCAAATTCCTATGTTGAAGCTCTGATTTTCAATGGGATGGTATTTGGGGCCTTTGGGAGGTGACTGAGGTTGGATGGGGCCAAGAGGGTGGGGCTCCCGGGATGGGACTGGGGCCATTACAAGGAGAGGAAGAGAAGAGGCCAGGATGTGGAGAAAAGGAACCCTGGTGCACTCTTGGTGGGAATGCAAACTGGTGCAGCCACTGTGTAGAACAGGATGGAGGTTCCTCAAAAAAGCAACAACAGAATTGCCGCACGACCAGGCAATTCCACTTCTGGGTATTTATCTGAAGGAAATGAAAACACTAACTCGAAACACTAACCCCCATGTTCACTGCGGCATGATTCAAAACAGCTAAGACATAAAAACAGCTTAGGTGTCCCTCGATGGATAAAGAAAATGCAGTATATTTATACGATGGAATGCTATTCAGCCATAAAAAGGAGGAAAATCTTGCCACCTGTGACAACATGGATGGACCTAGAAGGTTACTATGCAAAGTGAAATAAGTGAAACAGAAAGACAAATACTGTGTGATCTCACTAATACGTGGAATCTAAAAAAAAAAGCCCAACTCATAGAAACAGAACAGACTGGTGGCTGCCAGAGACGGGGGGCGCGGGGATGGGCAAAATGGGTGCAGGGGGTCGGAAGGTACCACCTTTCGATTATAGAATAAGTTAAGTCCTGGGGATGTGCCGCAGAGCACGGACGGTGTCTACAGTTAATACCACCGTATTGTATATTTGAAAGTGGCTAAGAGCGTAGATCTCGAAAGTTCTCATCACAGGAAAAAGACCTGTAACTACGTGCGGTGACAGAGGTGAGCCAGACATACTGTGACGATCACGTCACCACATGCACAAACACCAAATCATCGTGCTGCACACCTGGGACTGATATAAAAAAAGGAGAAGAGGCAGAGAGGCCAGCGCCTGCCCCCTCTCTGCCCCGTGAGGACACCAGCGCTGGTGAAAGGCGGCCACGCCGTCCGTGGCACTGGTTCCCGCAGCCCCGGCTCACTCGCCGGGGACTGAGAGTGTGGGGTTCTGAGCTGGCCTGGAATCCACGTCTGGGCTCTTCACGTGCTGCGTGACTTCCCCGGGCCTCAGTGCCCTTCTGTGACACGGGGTAGACACTGCAGGAGACAGCTGAGGTGACGAGCTGACCCGGTGCTGCCCGGCGTAGGACGCTGCCTGGACCGTCACCCGCGCTCAGGCCGTGCTGGCCTCTCCCGAGCATCGCCGTCTAACAGCGGAGAAGAACAGCGCCCGCCAGCCCTGCTCGTGCCTCTGCTGCCGCGTACCTCGGTTTCTAGGTGAGCGGAATCGGGTATTTGAGGTGTTGAAGGTGCAGAGAAAAAAAACTGACAAGGAATAATTTTCCCCAGGTAACCACCTGAAATAAAACGGCCCCCGAGGGCGGGTGGAGGGGGGTCAAGAAGGGCCCGGCTCTCACCTTGTCGTACTTGTAGATCAGGTTTTCGGACCTGGCCAGGCCCAGAGCCACCTGAGCGGTCCTGCGGGCGTGCACGCTGTTCCTGACGGCCCCGGCCAGGAACGGATGCAGCAGCTGCACCGACCAGGTGCCCGGCAGCAGCGGCAGGACGCGGGCGGCGTCGAAGTCGGTCGCGTGGTGGTTCAGGAGGTCCGTGGCGGCCACGGCCAGCTCGGGCGCGGTGGGGCCGGGCTGGAGGTACATGGCCAGCAGCGTGTGGAAGAGCCGCTGCCGGTACGGCGGGTCCCTGCCCTCCGAGCGCCACAGGCAGTAGTCCTCGGCCGCCGCGAAGTCCCGCAGCTCGTGCACCAGGATGCGCAGGGCCTCCTCGTGCTCCTCCAGCTTCCCGTGCAGGATGGCGCTCTCCATGGGGAGCCCGGCGCCCCGGATTCTATCTGTGCGGCAGCAGCCGGCGGTTAGAGCCAGCCCCAGCTCGCCCCCCACCTCCCCTGTGCTCTCCACTTAAGAAAGGGCAAGGCTTGCTTGGACCCCCGTGCTGCAGAGCTGGGCCTTCCCAAAGGGGAAGCCAGTCCCTACTTTTAGGTAGAACCCAACTGCAGAATACACATTTTTAATAATGCTTAGCGACTGAATAAAACAAATGACCTGTCATCTCAACCGGCATGGTGAAACATGAGTATCACGGCTGCAGGCTTCCAATTAATCCAGCATTGTTCCTATTTTCCCAGTACGGGACCTTTCAACTCCAGCAGAAAGGCACTTTATTGATTTAAATTCAGCTAACCCTCCCTGGCAAAAAAGTGCAGTGAACCCCTTTATTCCAATTTAAACTATATTTCATGTGAGGGAGTGTGGGTTCGTATTGTTAAAAATCCTGATCTACATTACTTTAAAGCTCTTCTTTTGTTTCTCCTGCAATTTAAGTTTTTCGGCTATAAGGAAAATGACACCACCACAGAAAGATCTGACCAAGGCCCTGTCCTTAGTGGGCTGGGTCTCACTGGTAGAGGCCCTTTGCTTTTCACTCCCTCTGGAACATAGGAAGATAACGTGAGGTCTTTTCCTACCGTGAAAGATATTCAGAGGACAAGTCCTATTTCAGGGGCCAACATTAATCCTCAGATTACAGGCTTTCTGCCTTTGGAGCCTGACCACACTCAGGCCTGCTGCGAAGGGCCGGTTCCACCACGTATGTCAGCCAGGGCACTAAACACAGAAACTGCAGCATGCATGCTTGTCATCCTCATGAGGAGCGGTCACCAAGTAATTACTAAGTGGCCACCAGGTTTAAGGCATGGGCGAGGTGCAAAGATGGTAAAGGGAAGGTCACTGCAGTGACCTACACTTTTCACATCGCTCATCCCATTTATAGGAGATTCTCAGCCACCCCAAGGGGACAGGCTGCACAAGAACTGTTATCACAATGTGCCCGGCTGACCACCCCCAAGTCACCTAACGAGGGGAAAGAGCTAGTGCCTGAGTTTCCAGTGTTCTCCCACAGTGCCTTGGCAGACACCCCATTGCCTGCAAGCTCCCCAGGCTGACCTGCAAGCCCAGACTTATCCTTAGTGACCGCTCAGACAGCACCTTCTCCCTGCTCCCTCCCCTCCACCCCGCATGGAGCTCCCATCAGCCCCTACCCACATTCTCATTAAACTGAGGACAAGAACCAAGTCACATCCACCTGTATATCCTCACTGCAGTGTCTGATATTCTACATATGCTCAACGACATAAGCTGAGCAAGAACCTGATCAACAAATCCATGACTAGCATGCGATCTGTATGAAGGGATTTGTAAAGCGTAAAGTATGGCGTAAGTCGGGGGTGACAGTGAACACATTTAACAGCCAGTACAGCGTGAACATCAACCACTAAGCATGGACGGCGGCTGGGAGTGACCAGGGGGCTGGACGTTAGCCCTGGTGCAAACATGGGCCAGAAAATAATAATAAAAATAATTTTTAAAAATAGGACTTATTTCACAAGGTCGTCGTGGAAAGCGTCGTAATGCACGCTAAGCATGCTGACCTGGGCCTGGCGTATACAGCCAGTGCTCATTATTCAGATTCTATATTCATGAATTTGCCTGCTTGCCCAAATTCCTGTGTCACCCCCAAATCAGCAGTTACGGTGCTTTTATGATTATTTGCGGACATGGGCAGGGTGGCATAAAATTTGAGCCACCTGCCATGCACGTTCCCAGCCGAGGCCCCGTAAGGCGATCCACGCGCAGCCCTCCTTCTGCAAACAGTCCTCTCCGTGGTTTACTTAGTGCCACAATTTTTGCGTTTTTGTGCTTTTTTTGTTGGTGACATTGCCATTTAAAATGGGCCCCAAACACAGTGCTGAGGTACGGCCTAGTGTTTCCAAGCACAGGTGGGCTGTGCTGTGATGTGCCTTACGGAGAAAACTTTGTGTGTCAGCTGAGCTTCGTTCAGGCCTGAGCTAGAGTTCTGCTGGCTCTGAGTTCAATGTTAACCAATCAACAATAATACCTATTAAATAAGGTGTCTTTAAAAAGAAGCACTCATGGGGCGCCTGGGTGGCTCAGTTGGTTAGGCGACTGCCTTCGGCTCAGGTCATGATCCTGGAGTCCCGGGATCGAGTCCCGCATTGGGCTCCCTGCTCGGCAGGGAGTCTGCTTCTCCCTCTGACCCTCCTCCCTCTCATGCTCTCTGTCTCTCATTCTCTCTGTCTCAAATAAATAAATAAAAATTAAAAAAATAAATAAAATAAAATAAAAAGAAGCACTCATAAAACAAGGTTATGTACTGATCGGTTGATGAAAATGTTGTGATCAGCGGTTTGCAGGAACCTGACCCTCTATTTCTCTGGGAGCAATGTTCAGGGTTCAGTAATTCAGTGTTCGTGGAGACTTTACAGAACATAACTATGGTGAATGATGAGAACTGACTAGAGTTAATGGTCAAAAAACAGTGTCAATGCCGTTAAAAAGAAATACATTATTAATCCCAGTAAGAACAAATCTGAAAACTCTATGATGTCAAATACACCAAGAAACTAGCTAATTCTACCAGGTGGGAGCATGGTGCTGCTTTGTGGTGCTTTACACAACACAAAAACCATGGACTCTGCACCCCAAGGAAATGAAAACCAGGCTCCCGTCCAAGATACCTGCCCCCCTTCCTATGGCTCAGGGCTCCATGACAGCCCTGAGCTGGGGACAGTGCTAGCCTCGCCCAAACACTGGTGCCATCAGAAGGAACTGGGATTCAAGTACACCGAAGCCGAATAAGGCAGTTTAAATGAAGGCATGCTCAACAGACACACAGACTTCCAAAACCCCTGGGCAGCTGTGTCATCGGCTAAAGGCCCTGTGTTCGTTTCTAGAGGGTGGAGGCCTGAGAAGCTTCACCCCACCCTCCAGGCTGGCTGATTTTGTGCCAAAAGAGGCTCAAGGAATCCAACCCCCCGCCGTGGACTCAAGACAAGGAGCTCCGCCAGAGCCTTCATCTGCTCCTCCCCGTCCCTGCTGGGGGCAGCGGGTCAAGGAGAGACTAGTGAGTTGCTCCTCACCTATCAGCAGGTGGACGCGGTACAAATCGGACTTCTGGAGCAGGTGCTGGAGCTTTAGCTGTATCTCCGAGGCTTCCGCAGCCTTGCTGCTGGTGCCGGACTTCTGCCTCAGCACCTCGTCCAGGTAGAGGAGGGCCAGCTGCGTGTGGTACTCTTCCTTCTGTGGGAGACAGGAATCCAAGCGGACAGACAGCATTTGCAGGCGGGAAGCTGGGCTCCCCCAGCCCACGGGTGCTCCCGAGAGTGAGCTGCGCCGCCGCCGAGGCGAGCCGGGGCAGGGTCTCGGGGGCAGTTAACAGAACACGCGCACTGGATCAACAACATCTCAGAAACTGCAACACAGAAAAGGTAGACTTCAAATCTGTGAGAAAAAATATAAAAAGGTCGCTTCTCCTTTGAGAAGTGAGGGCCCCAGGATTTAGGTATTTTCCAAAAAGGTGCAGTTCTCTCATTTCCCTTAAGGATAATTAACCTGCGATCTCCTTCAGAAACCTCCAGGGCCCTAGACCATCCACAAGTACAGGCTGAGCATCCAGGCGGCAGGGCATTTAAAACACTACATTAGAACATTTAAAACATCTCCATTTAAAACATTACATTAGAACCATCTGCCAACAAGCTTTCTAGTCCGATTCTATCTCCAAAGTCATGGCTGTCATGTGGCAGCCCTCACACGTTAGTCTAAGTTCCGAAGCGCTCACCTGCAGGCTCCTGTCTATGACTAGATGTTCCAGGTACTTGACAAGGGCTTTAGGGTATTTCTTAAGGCAAGTGATTACACTGTCTGGGTTGAAACTGTTCTGCTGTTCATCCAAAGGTCTCTTGGTGAAAACTTGAACTCCAACCTGAAAGAAGAATAGCAATGTAACTATTACTTTTTTCAAAGACACCACCTTATCTTTATTCTGAGCACTGCCCATTTATGTTTGGGGAAAATCATTGCCCAAAATGTGGGGACACAGAGGGGCGCCTGGGTGGTTCAGTCGGTTAGGCATCCAGCTCTTGATTTTGGCTCAGGTCATGACCTCAGAGTCGTGAGATCGAGCCCTCTGTCCAGCTCCGTGCTCAGCGGGGAGTCTGCTCGAGATTCTCTCCCTCGGCCCCTACCCCACCTCTAAAATAATCTAAAAAAACAAAAAAACAAAAACATGGGGATACAGAAAAACAGTGCAGAGTGGGACACTGACAAAGACCAGAGCATGACACAAAGACAGGAAAGGTGACCTAAACTCTGAAACCTCCTCATCCACCTAGCCGGAATTTCTTCTCGAAGGGTCAGAAATGAAAGAAAGAAACATTTATTGGTAGCAGGTTTTGACTACCCAAGAAGCTACACCCTTTGTACTATGAAGATCATCTGAGAACAAGGATGGTCACTTGCTGAACAGTAAGTGACAGAATATGTACAGTCCTGAACACCTAGGAAACTCCACTCTCAGCACGCTGACATGACATCCACTATGTGGCTCATCTGTGCAGATCCAAGCCGGTCCCGGAGCAAGTTTCCAGACTGCCTTCCTGTGCCTGTCGAATGGAGCTCGCTGTGGTAATTCCATCTTCCAAGGAAATGCTAATGGGTCAAGTAGGTAAGTAAATGCATGTCGTTGCTGCCCTGGGCAGGCATGCTCACTGCACAGTGAGGCGTGCTCACGGACGTGTGCTCACTCTATCACACACACACACACACACACACACATACCACACAGCAGTCCTGAGTGTGAATTCTGAATTCTATAAGCCTGGATCTGTGCTGTACCAACCATACGACCTTGGGGAAGTTTCCAAAGCTGGGCTTCAGTTTCCTCGCCTGTAATTTCTACCTCATGATGCTGTTGTGATATTTATTTCAACATACGCTGAGTGCCTGGCACATCATCAGGAGCACACAAGGTCTGGGAATGATTCACTGATACCATCTATCAGCACTGGGAAGAGCCCAGGGCTTTTAACAGCTTTGGGTCTGTATGTCATATGTGCGTGTGCACAGAGGCAAAGTAAAGATGGAGTAAAGAGTAAATGAAGCACGTGGGCTCGGACCTTCCAGGTCAGACAGCACCGTGGAGAACATACACTAGCGGCGACTTTAGAACGGCAGACGCAACACACAGAAAACTCTACATTTATGAGGAAGGTCCTGCATCACAAAGCTAAGTCTGTCTCTCCAAGGGGAGCCAAGGAAATGTGTATGTTTTCAATGGTGAGAACTGAAATGCTATTATTATCTCTTTCCCCGTCATCCTGGGGCTTCACTGAGGAGTCCTGAGCTTGCTGCTCCCCAACCGCTCCCCCAGCCAGCAGCCACTGGGCGCTTCCTCCCTGCTGTTCCTTCTGAGCCTCCAGGGCGGCAAGTCCCACACTGGGCTCCCTCCTTCCTCCAGAACCACAACTTCCACGCCAGGGGGTGCGGGCAGACACAGGACAAGGGTGGGCCTGGTGTGGCCCAGGCAGGGCCCCACGCCCCACAAGGCGACAGTCCACTGAAAACGGAAGTGCCACACTTGGTCAGGCATGGGGATTCACACAGACATGCGCATGTTTTTCAGAAGACGCTAAGAATGTGACCTGGCTATGCTTTCTGGCTTTGCTATAAACGTGGCCTGCCCCAGACAGATACGCAGAACAGTACATCTCAGAAGGACTGAGACGCAGAACTCTCCTAAGAGCTGACACTCTGGTGGAGCAAGGAGAGGTATTAGAAGGGAGCAAACTACAGGCAGGGTGAGGCTGTAGCCCGGTGGCTGGTTTCTCACGGAAATCAAGCTTTCTGTCTTTGCCAGCTGCCAACCACCCCCCCAACAAAAAAAGGGCATTTATGATGCACAAACCTCTTCACTTTTCTGCAGGACCCAATCAGCATACTTCCACACAAGTTCCTGGTCTAAGCTGTAGGTAAGGAAGTCGACGACATATTCGTACAGGTCTGAGCGAGTGGAGTCGTGAATGTCCCCATTCACGATGTTCACCCAGAGCTGGAGAGGAGGAAAGAAGAAAAAGAAACGGAAGGTTACATACCTTCTAGAATTAGCTAAGGAGGTGCATATGTTTACTTATTTGGCCTTTTGATACTTGAAAGTAGTAGGACAAATTTTGAATGCTTAAGTCGATTTTAAGGTTTTCAGAGAAATAAAGCCATGTAGCAGATGTGGTCCAGGAAATCAAGGCGATAAAGCCGTGGATTCTTTTTCTTTCCTTTCTAATGACAGCGCAGTAATACAAGTAGGAAACACAATATACAGGAAGAGGCAGATGTATTAAAAACGTTTCTTCGTGAAATAAACGATCACTGACAGCATCTCGACACAGAACAAGAAACCCACCTGCCTCCACCCGCGGGGCTGTCTCCACCTTCCCCACCACAGGAATCCTTGACTTTGAAGTCCCTTGTGGACTGTGATAGTCAGACACTGTGCCTTCAAAAATACTGGTCATTCTGCCCCCTAGTGCTCTGTCTGGTGCATGGGGGCTCATGAGAGCTAACAGTAACAGTCCCTTGCTATTTCATCCAGAAACTTCCCCGCTGTGTAAATCAAAGCTTCCTTTCAGAAAACCAGAATGAGGCCGCATCACATGGGGGCAGGGGAGACGGAGGCTGCCTCACAGCCCATACCGCACCCCCCATACCTCACCCGCCTGCCCACCGCACTGCACTTTAGGACCACGCCACCCACGAGAAGCCCAAGAAACAGGGCTGGCAGGGTCAACTCTGTGATTCTGGTATCGGCATGGGAACCTTTCTTATGGTATCAGTTTCTTTAACACTGAATTCCTCAAACCAAATAAGCTAATCACACACAGAAAGGTGTCGTTTTTTTTTTTTTACAGTAGAATTTTGCCGTATAAAAAGCTTTCTTTCATGCCACTTCGATTTTGCAAACGCCTCCTCTCTCCATAGCTCTGCTGATGTTACTATTGCACTGACATCAAGCCGTAAGTCACAGACTTGTGCGTTTTACAGTATAAAAATGTTGCCCTTGACATCCAGATCTACTCTAAGCCACTGGGGTGCGTGTTGACGGAAACCCCTTTTTTTTAACCTCATGGGCAATCATGCGTGGCTTTGCCAAAGTCATGAGGCTGACCTTAGCTCGGTGACCACTGCTAATGTTCTCGGCCACTCACAGAACAAAACAAAAAGGCCACTGAGGAAACTGTAACACGGGTACTAGTGGATAACCAGTGACAGAAGGGGCGAATGTCTCCTCATGAGATGCCAGAGGCGAGACGAGAGACGGGTGGCATTTTATCTCCGGCACAGTATCTCTGCCAGGACCCCCTGGAACAGTGGTTCGAATCCCCGTTCTACCGCTGAGCAGGGCTGGGACCCTGGGCAAGGGACTGGCCTCGATCAGCTTTCATTCTGTCACAGGGGACATGGGGCGAATGACGCACCCTGCTTGCTGGCAAGTTACTGTCAGCAACAGTGGAAGCTACAAGCAAACTGTTACCCACAGTTTGGGTAACTTAATTGCCCCGTGAGGCAGTGACGTCATATGCCTTGTGGCTCAGTAAGAAATCAGTTAGTTCTATTTCTTAAATTTTCAAAAACTCAATCTTGATAATGTCCTTGAAAGAGATGTAAAAACAAAGAAAAGAAAACCCTTGGCTGACATTTCTCAAGGAATTCACTTTCTAAAACAGTATTGTTTTCATTCTGTAAAAAAGGTTGTAGGTCAGGCAAAAGTAGTCTCTATCAACTTTGATTTTTAAGTCATGCTAAAATACTTTTGAACTCACCTGAACGGCAGCAGCATCTTGGTTATTATAATGATAGAGCAGTCCAAGTGCAAAATACCTGAAAGAAAACAAGGCGGTAAGTATACCCTCTCCCCAGCCACCTGCTGTGGGCAGCACCCACCCAGCAACAGCCCCCGGATTACCCTCTGGTCTCCCATATTCAGTTCAACTCAGAGTTCAACAACAAATTTCCAATGACAAAGAGATCCTCATTTCTGTTTATTTACTTCCGATATTAAAATGTACGTCCTAGGGACGCCTGGGTGGCTCAGTCGGTTAAGCGTCTGCCTTTGGCTCAGGTCATGATCCCAGGGTCCTGGGACTGAGTCCCACGTCGGGCTCCCTGCTAAGAGGGGAGTCTGCTTCTCCCTGTGCCTCTGCCCCTGCTCGTGCTCTCTCTCTCAAATAAATAAAAATCTTTTAAAAAAATAAATAAAATGTATGTCCTATCAATTTCCAAAAAGGATCATATTCAAGTCTAGGATAAGCTGAAAAATAAAATCATAATTACGCTACAGAAAATCCTATTTGGAATTGCTTTACAATTTCCTCAAATATTAATACAATTTCGTATCTCTTCAGATGATCACCGTTAACCCATCACAGAGTGTTAGAAGAATATTAGGAAGGTGTGTTACCTGAGCTATTACTGAAAGATGGGGTCAGGAGTCTGAACATGGACAGCAACACAGGCCCACAGTGCCCAGCCAGCGCAGAGAACACAAGGTCGGGGACGGTCCGGGGAGGGCACCCAGGGTCCTAGGCCCCAAGTTTCAATTCAGGTTCCCTTACTTAGGGACTGTATGGTCTTGAGCAAGTGGAATGCCTGCCAGGTCCTTCATCTCCTCACTTGTGCATGGAAAGGGTGAGGGATAACACTGACACAGCCCGGGCGGTGTCCTGCTCACTGTCCTCCCCGCCCAGATGGTGAATGGAGCAAGCTGACCCGGGGGGATGTGGGATTTCTTCCCTCCGAGAGCGAACTCTTAAGGTATCAAACTATTCACTGGGGCCCTCCTCTTTTCCTTAGCCTTTCAGGAAGTTACACTGACTCTCTGGACCCTACCATTCCACGTCCCTATCATGAGGCATTAGTGTATTTTCTGGTCCTAAACAAAGTAACTCCCTTCCATAGCATAGCTGGGAAACTGAGGGAAAGTGCTGGGAAGAGCCCATACCCACATGGAGACCCATCGCAAGCCCCTGTTCAATTGGAACAGGATCTGGCTCTGTAACCCCATGGTTCCCGTGGGACTTCGTCAGTCCTTTAATCCATTTTACATAACAAAAATCACAGATGAATCTTACTGCTTAAAGGAGTCTGGGGATCACCCAACACGTTTAAAGAACTCCCCCCTGCCCCCTGCCACGTACCTGCTCAGAACGAAGGAGCACTGGCTCTTACCCAGTCACTGTGGTTAACTGCCCTTGTACGTAAGGCAAGGGGGCGGCTGTCTACCAACTTGTGCTCATAACGAAGGCAGAGTTTAAAGCCATACACTTTTATCAACGAGATCAAGAAGTCTCCCTTTTAATCTATTTATCCAGATGTCTATCTATGGAGGTCACAGTGTTTGGTCATCAGTGACTACAGTATGCTATGAACTTTACCAAAATACAGGTGGTGTCATCCACGGGTGAATCCTACATGGAACGGTATGGAGAGGAGTGCTAAGAATCACTTCATTTACTAACTGGGCCTATGACAGATTGTGAGAGCGCACGCCTTCTGAGACCCCTCCAGTCATCTGCAGACCATGCCGAGGGGGGTCTAAACTGAGGGGGTGCCGGGCTGTCACGTGAGGAGTCTCCTGGGGCCTCATGCAAGCGGCTGCAGCACCTTCACAGGGCCCCTGGCCGCACGTGGGAAGGGAACACTCACTTGTTGTGCTTCTCCAGCCAGGCAGCGCTGTCTGTCAGAAGACAGGAGTTCTCGGTGACCAGGAGGTCCAGCAGACTGTCGTGGTCGGCCTCCGCGTACAGCTTGAGCAAGGCCGTGTCGATGTCCTCTTTGTAGCCATTGGCGACCTCTGTGCTGCGGACTTCGTTCAGGTAGCTCATGAGGAAGCGCTTACACTTGGCCATCTTGTCTTGGTCCCCCTGGGTCAGCTGGTTCAGGTCCGCGTACTCGTGGAGAGGAGGATGGGATCGTGTGAATGAGGAGGAGGTGGGCAACAGGAAGGGGTAGAGAGAGATCAGCTCCCGGACGTCAAGCTGGCCGCTTCTGCAATTACAGTGTCAGACTAAATGAAGCAAAAAGAGAGAAAGAGTACACATAGGCACACAAAACAACCTCGGGGGGCGGGCCCGTCCGCACCCGTTCACGGGGAGCTGGATGTGTGGGTGAGCGCGGCAGAGCCACCGTCCTAGCCGGCGGGCCCGGCAGAGCACGGCCAACTGTGCGCCCGCACAGAAAGACACACGCCCCGCCGGTGCTGACGCACAGTACAGAGACACCCGACGTGGTCCCCCCACCGGCGGAGCAGCGGACTCCCTGGAAACCAAGGCCAGGAAAGGAACGCGGAGGGAACACAGCACTGTCTGGTCAAAGGTGAAGTGCCGTCCTTCCGAAGCCAACGCTTCTCCTGGCATCAAACTATGAAGAGGTTTCCTCACCGACCCACAAAGGGACTTTGCCAGGACGCGACTTACAATTTCCTCATCAAAGATCCTACGACGAGAGCCACGGGAGCCTTCATGAGGCTGGTTCTGTGGAGACTCTCAATGGCCTCTCGGAGCATAAGGTGAGACCACAACTCCAACGGTGTCCTAACCTCGCCAGGCTAGGGAGCCCATCTGGTGACATCCACCTCTGCTTCCCTGTTGGCCACGTTCCCCCCGCCCCGTGCTGCCCTCCGGCCTGCTCGTCCTGTCCACCATGATGACAGAGCCAGCATCATGGAGCTGCAGACCACAGTGCTGGCCCCACAGCAGCCCCACCTGTGGGCTCCTCTTACGGAAACAGACACAGGGCCCCCAGACATGAATGGGAACCCCAGGTCCAGCCTGGGGTCTACACTTCCTGCAACGTTCACGGCATCCATCTTCCTTCAAGCTCTGACAGTCTCCCTTCCTCCCTAGCTTCCGGCCTCTGGGTCTCCTTCCTTCCACTCCTGCCCTCTCCCCACCGTCCATGGTGCTGGGCCTCTCTAAGATAAACCCCAGACCTCTGAGCACAGTGGCCACTCCCGAGGCCCTACAGCTTCGGCTTCCACCGTCCCTCCGACACTCTGATGCTTCAGCCCCCCCCCCCCTCCAGTTTACACAGCATGCCTCAGCCTTTGCTGCCCTGTTCCTTCCGCCTAAAGCAACAGCCCTCCAGGGCAGCAGTTTTGCTCCCTGGGGGACACTGAGCAATGTCTGGGGATACTTTCAGTCACCACTGGAGGTGCTACTGGCCCTGACTGGGTAGAGGCCAGGACTCCTCCAAGGCACAAGAGAGCACCCCTAAACAAATTATCCAGCCCAAAAGGTCCGGCCTGTATGGTTCTCAATTTGGGAAGCTTCTCATCATTGAAGATGCAGCTAAACCCCGATCGGAGCCCGTGCTCTGCGCCTGCCCCCAGAGCGTGCCACCCCCACTGCGGAGCGGCCCCTGCGTGCCCACCCGCTGGGCACATGGCCATCATCCACATGGCGTGGGCACGCCATGAATGCACGCGGTGGTCTCACCCTGGCGCTCCGGCTCTGATGCTTGGGCCAAGCCCGCTTCCTGGGAGGCGTGCTGACCTGACTGGACATGAGGACAGGCTTACGTCCACGTCCAGGGGAGCAGACACAGAGCGGAGGGGCCCACGGCGTGAGGCACACAGAGGTTCTCTCTCGGGTGCCGACCACGACGTGTTGGCATTGTGGCTTCTAGTACTGAACTGAGAAGGAATCTGAGGACAAGTCCCACATCAACGAGGGAAAAAAAATCCCACTTTATTAGCAACGTCTGCCGTGGGCACAGGAAGGGAAAGTGGAAGCTCGCTTGCTTCGGCCTGCCTGCTTCAAGGGCCGATTCTCTCAGTCACATTTTTGACAAAAACGGAACAGCCATCAATTTATGCTATGAAGGGGCTGAAGTATGAAAGACAGGAGGAACCTTGTATTAATGACTGACAGGCCCTGCACTTACTCTGTCACAGAATCTGTGAACTCTCCTAGGAATAGATTATGACCGTTTACACCCTGTCCCAAATTAACCCATGAGAAGATGGACCCAAATGAGGAGGTTTTTGACACTGCAGGGACAGAACAGGTAGGACGGAAAAGAGCTACGTCCACAGGGACAAAGAATCTACGTTAGTCCCCCAGGAACAGATGAGAAGAGCACACAGAACTGATATAAGTGTAAGTTATACAGGGCATCGCTATTCACTAAGTGACCCCTTCTTGACTCAGAAGCCTGCTCCTTCGGCCAGCCGTGTGACAGAGCAGGAGGCCGGAGCAGGGGTGAGCCCTACGGCCTAGAGAACAGGCAGCAGACAGCGTGCTACAGAGCTGTGTTCTGCTCCGGCTGCTACTTGGATGTGAAGGATCTGTGCGGATGCTTTATATACCCTTTATCCTTGAGATGGCTCCAAAATGTGCAGGATCTAGTCTAGTTAGATGGTGTGAAAACTTAGGTCCTAAGTTGTCCTTATGAACGTTTCCTTGTGAAGTCTTTGGAAAGAGCACAGTTTCCACCAGTCTTCCCAGGGGCACCTGTTCTAGTCCTAAACTTCTAATTTCCTGCAAAAATCTCTGAAGAGAAGGAAAAGTGAGCAAGAATAGCATTTTCCTAGGAATCCTCCGCGTTAGCGAGTTCCCTCTAGGATTTCCTTCTCCTCTCTTAATGGGATCGTTATGGGCGCCTCCTCCTCCTCAGCCTCCACCCTCTTTGAGACACAGGGCAGGTAAACTGAGGCTAAGGGGTGGGAGCGAGGAATGAGCACCGGTGGTGGGTGCTATTGTCAACAAGTCTCCCCACTTCTCCCTGAAGCACATGCCTAAGCATGGCAACATTTCCCTTCACGGCCTCACGGTCGAGATGAAGGCTTTGACCACAGGGGGACACCTGGGAAGGCTCGCTACCAACACCTCAAATTACCTGAAGAGCTCTTTAGCTTCCAGGAACTGAAGTTGTGCAAACTGTATAAACCCGGCCTGCTGCAGAATCCTTCTGTACATTACCTGCAAAGAAAGACAGGTTTAGTTCATCTCTGAGAGACTCCGTAAAACCAACACAATGGGGAGAAACCTTCTGATCAGAACCCAAGTCAAATGTTCGTGATTACATAGAAATTGGAAGTTACAAGCTAAAGAAAAAACATGGCATATATGAAATTATTTTCAATACAAATATATTTATGTGTGTCTGTGTGTCAATCCACTCCTCATTCCTGAAATAAAGTTGTTCTCTACTTGACTATTCTTCCCTCACCTTCTCCACAGATCTTCCCCATAAATCTCATTTCCTTCCCCAATGTGTTCTTTTATCTTCTGTCCTCCTCCTCCTTAACTCGCAGGGCTGCGGTGATGGCTTCCACTTCTGGTGGTTCAGATGGAGAGCAACAGCTCCAGTGTCTCTGGAGGCCCAGAAGCTGCTCACCCTGCTCCCACTCCTCCGAAATTGACACTTCACTTCTGAGTATCCCTCAGAACACAGGACCAATGCCATTTAATCAATCAATAGCTAAAGCCACATGCTTTCCTAGCCCAAGCTGGGGAAATGCAGTGCATTCCTTCTCCTGGAGCTGCATGGCCCACAGCCACACTCCACTCACAATTCCTGCCGTCAAGGTGCCGGGTGATCTTTGCTTCATGCAGACTTCCCTGACCACAGAACTTTTTCCTCGTGACACCCAGCAAGAGCAAAGCGCACTATAGAAAGCTCTCCTGTGGTGTCTTAATTCCACCTTCCCTGTCGCTGTCCAACTTCGTCAGTGCTGGAGTCCAAGCCTCCTTTGCTTGCAGTAGCCCTTGAACATGCCTCTTCACTCTGTTCATTCTGGTGCCATCCCACAGTCAGGCCGTCACCCCCTCACGATCAAAGGCTCCAATCACATTTCAGACCCTGTGAGTTCTCCTCCACCTTCCAACCACTGTGCTCTCGTGTGAGCCATGAATTCCTTGGCGGCACAGTGCATATGTTATTCCTCTTTGTAACCCCACACCCCGGCATAACACCTGCCATTCAGGAAGGGCTCCTGGATCTGAAGAGCTATCTCCTCAGTATTCGTGAACCCAGAGGGACAGTCTGCTCAGAGATGTTAAGATCTTAGCCCAAAGTTAGTGAAGTCGTAAGTGGTTGAGCTGGGATTTAAAAAGCAGACCTTTCGGATTCTAAATTCTTTCCACTCGCTGAGTCGCCCAGGTACACAGCAGGCTGTTACCCACTGAAGAAGTGAGGAAAGTGGAGACAGTCGGCACCTAGAGGCTATCAATCCTGTTCCCTCACATCAGCTTTTAAAGGGCCTTTCGCTGTAGTTTTGAAGAGTTCTCAAAAGTACAGCATTTCCTCCCTATCCCCATAGAAATTCCTTGAAAGAAGTCAGAAAAGGCAGGTTGCTTTTTCATCTCTTTACCACCTGCCTTTACCTTTCTTCCCTGATAGCAGCTATTTGTGGCTTAAAAACTGGCCCCAACAATAAGCAGACACAGGAGTGGATCAAGGTTCTGTTGTACAGGAATGCCAGCTCCATTTCTGGAAGCAGACATGATGAAGACCATCCACTTGGCAAAAAAGATCAAAAGGATCCATCAGCTGCAGTAGAAGAATTCTTGCTCACGCCCTGGCCTGCTGATGCGAAATCAGCCGAATCACAATTTACTCCTCATGGTTGCAGGATTCAAACGCCTTCTACTCTTTCCCTTCCTAAAAGGAAATAAAAACCACTTTTGCGAACACTCCCAATCTCCAAGAATATGGGGTTATTTTCTGTATTCTAGTCCGCAAACACTACAGGCAGACTTAGAAGAAGCATGCAAAGAGATCCCGTCATCCTGAATATAAGCACCTAGATGCGAAACCACGAATGATACACAACACACCACTGACTGAGACCTACAAACACCTGATCAGAAACTTCGGCAAGCACAGCCAATTCCTGGTGCTCTGAAAGTGACCACCTCCTTCCCAGACTGTCCGCTCTGACCGACAGCTCCCCTGGCACTCCACTTAGGTGATGCGGAACTGCAGACCTGGAGCCAGGTTGGCCAGCAGAAGGACAAGAAGGATGGCCATGAGAGGAGAGAGAACAAGCACATCTGTTTATCTCCCCAGCATCAGAGCTAACGCAATGGAGTCCTCAGCTGTCTTTTCAACTTAACTGATTTGTCCCCTGGCGTGAGGCAGCTATCAGAAGTCCCAGGCCAGGTATGTGCATTAGCAAAACTGAGCTCTAAGTAGTGCCACTCAGCATGGACTCTGTGCAGAGGCGGAGGGCCCGCACAAGCCAGCTGTAAGAGGTCACGTGTACTCTGAGAGCAAGGTGAAAGCGAAGTCAAACCCTCTGTTACTACTATTCTGTTTCTCAATTGAGATTTCTAAACTGTCATGCTTTGGGTAACTAGAAATTTTGTGAAGCAGAAGATTCTATTCTATCTGATTTAGAAAGAGGCTTTTTTAAGGGCAGAAAAGCCCACTTCTAGGGTCAGGCCTGGATCCCCCTCCCACCTCAAGGGTTCAGCACTTCGGCTTTGTCAGTGGGCTCATCTCCAGGAGAGCAGGGCCGATGGGCACACCCCCCTTCCTACCAAGAATGATGTAGATCTGTTGCAGACAAACCACCAGGTGCAGTCATTACAAACCAGATACAAACCATTATAAATCCAGAGGACAGCCGACTCTTGACATGAGACTACGAATAAGATTCAGGTTATAATGCCCTGTAAGCCCAAGAAGAGTTGGGATATATGGTATATACATATCATTTCTGTAAAATGAGTACAACCAAACTTTAAACAAAAATTGATAACGAGGGGCGCCTGGGTGGCTCAGTCATTAAGCGTCTGCCTTCGGCTCAGGTCATGATCCCAGAGTCCTGGGATGGAGTCCCACATCGGGCTCCCTGCTCGGCAGGAAGCCTGCTTCTCGCTCTCCCACTCCCCCTGCTTGTGTTCCTGCTCTTGCTCTCTCTCTCTCTGTCAAATAAATAAATAAAATCTTTAAAAAAAAAAAATGATAACGAATGTTAGACTTTTAACTGTATTTATACCTCTTCCTGTAATACATACTTAAGTGGTGGGTTTTAGGTGTCTTAAAAACTTATTTAAGACTCTTCTCACTTAGTTATTGCCTAAATAAAAACACCTTTCTGAAAATACACTGGGTGAAACAGTTGTCCCACCTAAGCAGCCATGACATTCTCCATTCTGATTAAGTTTGTAAACAGATGTGTATGTGTATATACGTGTGTGTGTGTTTATTGTAAATGTTGATATATAAAATATATACATAAAAAGTATTTACATGCCATATACATACACACACACACGTATATACACACACCTACATATATAATACAAATCCATAATGTATAAAATAATGTATTTTATATATACCCCTTCTTGGGAATTCACAGAAAGATAGTAATAAAAATATAATACATGATATGTGGCCTCTCAGGGATCACAATAGGTATTAGTGTATTAAAAGCTCTGAGAAATCCTCCAGTTAAGAAACCCAGTTAATGCAACCATGTAAAACAGAACCTTTCCACTGTGTGCCCATCCCCATCCCAGAGCCAGGGTCTGGTGACATGCAAACTAGAAGCCCTGCTCAGGAATCAGACATGTGATGGACATGCATGCAAAGCAGGAAAAGTGGTCAGTCCCACAGGTGGGGATGGTGGGGGTCAGCGGGCGCGGGGGCCAGAGAAAAGGCCTGAGGAACTCAACATGCATAAGGAAACCTACCCAAAGCACAGGTCCAAACTCTTGCAAAGGATACACTAAGAAATAGGAACACACAGCTGTTTAGGAAGAAAAATGACATTCTAAGGGCAAGAGCCCCCTTGCTCTTCGATTTTTTTTCTTTACACACATGCATGTATTTTTTCCTCCTGTATTTTTTAAGGTTTATAATGGAAGTGATGCATTCATATAGCTCAAATTTCAAAACATTCAAAGGGATTTAATGAAGAGTCTCCCTCCCGTGGCAGTTCCCAGCCAGTGGTACTCCAGAGGTAATCGATGCTATGAATTTCTTGGCAGCTGCAGAAATACATGATGTATTTATAAGCCAACTCTTTCCCTAATTTTGGTAGCACTACACCCACTGTCTGCACTCTCTACATTTTTTTTTTTTAAAGATTTTATTTATTTATTTGAGAGAGAGAGAATGAGAGACAGAGAGCATGAGAGGGAGGAGGGTCAGAGGGAGAAGCAGACTCCCCGCCAAGCAGGGAGCCCGATGCGGGACTCGATCCCGGGACTCCAGGATCATGACCTGAGCCGAAGGCAGTCGCTTAACCAACTGAGCCACCCAGGCGCCCCTGCACTCTCTACATTTTTAATTCGTCTTTCACAGATCCTTCTGCCTCGACACACAAAGTCCTTGGTTCTCGTTCCTGTCTCCGCGGTGTCCCAACAGCCCTCTAGACCACAGCGCATTCAACCACTCCTCCACCGGCAGCATCTGGGTTGTTGTTTTTCTCTTTAAACAATTTGATCGTGAAGAGTCTTCTCCATTGGTTATTTTGCATTTTTGTGCTTAGACGTGTAGAATACCCCTCTAGGAGCAGAACTGTACCGTGTAACTTGGAGAGAGATTCTCAGTTTGCCCTCCTGCAGGCAATTTACATCCTTAGAAGTGATATCTGAGAGTGTCCATTTCCCCACACCCTCAGAGAGTGTCCTCAAACCCTCTGATCTTTAACAATCTGAATGGAAAATAACTTAGTGAACTTGTAATTTGCACATCTCTGTATGAATGAGACAAAATATCTTTTCAAACATTTTAAGACAGGTGATTTCACCTTCTATTAAATATCTGTTCATATTCATTTTTCTATTGGGCCATTCATTTTTTTTCTTATTTATTTGAAGGAGGTCCTGACATTTTAGAGAAATCAGCCTACCTTCTGTGCTTTAAACTGCAAGTACTTTTTGCTACTTATGTTTTTAATTTACTTATAGTGGGTTTTGCCATGTAGAATGTGTTTGTGTGTAAATTTATTAAAATTTTAAAAATTACTTT